ACAGTGTTGATAGTTGTCATACCAACAGCTTACTGCATCTATGAATTTTTGACTCACTCCATTCCGACATAAAAAATGTTCTTTTCTTTTCTTACTTAGTAACTTGTAGGAGACATAGCTGGATATAAAAACCAATATCTCCTTTTGCATTTCCCAACTGAGAATCAAGAAGACTTTATTTCAAGTCTAGAACTTTTCAATGTTATTGGAAAAAGCGGCGAAAAAAATTGAGGTGCAATGTCTGAACTTCACCTCTATGCTTTCGTTTTGGTTAATGATAGAGCGATCTAAAACATGTGCAAACTCACTAAAGGCGTGAGAGGAGCAGGAGACCGACCATCTTCTAATTCGTTTTCCCTGAAAGTTGGAATCACATGAGCAAAAAAATACTGCCTGTTGAACTTCTATTTTACAAAAAAAATATCAATTAATGTAAATGTTTCTTACTGATATTGGAGTAAGAAATTATAAGCATAAAATTAAGTAAACTTATCAATCAATGTAAGTAAGAAGTAGTTTGTTACTGATGCTGGAATAAGAAATTATAAGCATAAAAGTGCAATCTAAATCTTTGGCGTTTACTTGAATCGACCATTCAAAAATCAAACCCAAGTGTAGTGAACAAAACTGGAAACAAGATTGCTACAGTAACGGCAAATGGACTTCTAATTTTGGCGGAAACTCACCAGTCTTCCTCAGCATCAGCGTATTCACCATCAGATGTTAACGACTGATAACTCTTTACTCGCCCACGCTCCAGATTGATTCTGTAGGATACTGATGCAGCGTCTCCCCCCTCTAGAAAGTAAAAAAAATGAGAGCAGGATTTATTGTCATAAACCACAAGTTGACAAAAGTTACCTTCTTCGGTAGTTCGGACGCGATTGCGATTTTTTGAATATATTCGCGTAACATCACCATTCCCAGCGCCTCGTAACTCCGCAATTTCTCTCCGCAAGGCATTAACTTCATAGCTGAATATGAGGGTGGAAAAACAAAAATTTAAAAGGTGAAAGGTTTACCTCAAAGTTTCCAACGCTTTGGAAACATGCTCATTTTGTTTTTTGAGTGTACGGAGATGCTTTGCACACACATATGCAGCGGCACCAATCCCTGCGACACCAGCGGTGATTGCAACGCCACTGGCAATTCGAGTTATTCGGTCATCCATCTTTTAGATGTTGGAACTGTTGCGAGAAAATCTATAAGCAATCCATTATGGCGAGTTATAATAGCAAAATCATACTAAATGAGGAGATATAGGAAAAATCCGAAAATACACAAAAAAAA